GATTTTTCTCTTTTGTAGATTTTTTTGATCTTTAAACGGTCAAACTTGACTGTCCTGTACGGTATAGAAAAAAGAATGCCGTGAATTCGACAACTTTTTTTTTCAAAAATGTCAAAACTTAACCTGTCATCCTTGATCAGGACAGATTCTCTGGATTTTTTTGGTTGTGGGTCCGGGATAGCGAGTCCGACTGCTTCTATGATACTCTACTATACTGTAACCCCCCCCCGGATCAAAGGAATTTTATTTTCGCCTTATCATACATACCACTATAATGAAGAACGAAAGCTTGTGGCGACTTCATAAAAGAAAAAAAATATCTGTTATAGAACCACGGTTATCACGCCCTACCAATTCCAAAAATGGTAAACCATTATCGACGTGTTTCCAAGATCAATCACGATATCAGGTAGGAAACTGGGTATGATAATCGGGGGTAAGAAAAAGAAGAAAGGGGGAAAAAAAGATATCGATCATAGCTTGCGCTGGGTGGGTTCATGTTCATGTGAATGAATGAAGGATTAGGAATGACGTATAATATCGTGATGTTCCCGACGGGCACGAAACAGGAAAAAACATGGGAAAGAATGGGAGAGAGGAGAGGATGTCCATCTTTGATACCAGGGTCCACCGTCTCAAGACTTTTGCCCTTTGTCTTTATACAATACGGAACAGCTCGTGGGGGGATGATCGATTGTGCAGAGGCATCAAAGATGTGCCTGATAACCCTCCGATAGCATGGTGGCAAAAGAAAGAAGAAAAAGACTAACGGCGGTCTAACGTACAATAATCACTCGCGCGGTATGGGACTGATAGGAAAAAAAAACTAGAAAGTAGACCGCAAAGGCAAGTGATATGCCTCGTATGATACGATATTCCCATAATGGTATTATTGCGCCATCAGTTGTTTATTCCGATAACCAATATTTACGCTAGACCACTTCCCTACTGATTAATATAAGAGCTGTTCCCGAGAAGAAACCCCCAACCAACCAACAAGCAAACTTTAGATTTTTTTTTTTTTAGATTTTTTTCCAAACCTTAACCTCCCCCCAAAAAGTACGTTCTGCCTAGAGATTAATCTCCTCCTACCATACCCATGTTATCATACACCTACCTGCAGTGAAATAATACAATGGCACAGTCCATACAGTGTAATCCCGAGGGCTGCAATGTGCACTACGATTCCACCAGGACGATTTCGTCTTTTGTCTCCCCGTTTTCGGAATGGACAGCGTTGGGGGGACCTTCAGGAGGTTTATTTCCCCCCCCCCAAGGACATAATACGAGTGGTATGATATGCAAAGGAATGGACAAGGTATCATGGGTAAACGAAGGATCATATATACGAGGTGTATCCAAGCCACTGTTTCTTGCTTCCTTCCTTTCCGTGTGGCATGTGTCTATGGGGTTAAGACAGGCCACGGCTAGGGAAATCTCCACTACCATCGTTCGCGGACAAACGTCTCGTCTTTCTTTCTCAGCAGGTTTACCGTCTTGCTGTCCATCTAGGTGGTCCCTGAATACTTATTCGCCTGCTCACCCAAATACTTTCACCATTCTATGATGTTCCGTCGCAAACTACTCTAAGCCTAGATCGCACACTCCCCCCTCTTGACATTCGCTTCCCCGGTGAAATCTCCAGAAGAAGAAAAAAAAATCATTTCACTCTCTAACTTTGCTCTTGGGGCTCCAGAGCGTTTAGAATTCCCGCGGCTCTCACCAACTCAACTTTCTTTTCCGCCATCCGTGTACTGTACATTACACCTCCAACCCTGGCAACCCACGAGTGAGAGCCCATGTCTGCATTTTCCACAAACTTATGATAGGCCCATCAGCTTATCTATCCCTCAGCCACCCACACCACAAAAAAAAATAAAAAATACCCCGCTAAACTCATAGATATCGTACAAGTACCGGTAATCTACCCCACACCTCCTTCCCTGCCCACCCATTCCAACGTTCGACTCGCTAGCTTCCCCGCACACCAACCCACTCGCATGGCTGTTACCCCGCAAGCTATTTATTTCCCACAATACAAGTCCTCGCATTACTCGCATTACTACCAATGAATAAGAGTAGCAACAACTTAAGATCGTTCATCGTCCCATTTCCATTCCGTCGTCGAAAGAAAAGGTGAAGGAAAAAAAGAACCCTCTAAGTGACAGGACGTAACTGGGCGAAAAGACAAAATTTAAAAAAGAAAGAAAAAATAATCATGGAAATGGATGAAGACGGGGAGGGGAGGAAGGGAGCTAAATACAAGAACGCGAGGATCGTTAAGAAGAAGTCTGGGGGGGGGACTCTGTCACCGAACTTGCATTAGTGATAATAGTTCGTTTCGAGTTGCTGTACGAAAAATAGTCCAAGAGAAGAGGTGGAAAAGGAAAGAAAAGAAAACAACACCCGAAGGAGAGGAAAGGAAAAGGGAGAAGTCGGTCATGGCAATTCGTAGTTCATAATGGTACTATCACCATACCAGCATCATCTTCCCCCCACCTCCGCCTTCGTCTCCGCCTCCGAGAGGCACACCACTATCCCCCAAAAACCGCCTGCGCCTCCCTACAATGTCCCGCATTCGGTCCCTCCGACCCAACACATACCAGGCACGCATCCACAATATTACTCAAACACCCCTCAGTCGCACCGAGCACCCCCCACCCAATCGCGCCAGCAATCATCCCGACAATATACCCATATCCGCTCCCGCCATTACTATCCCTCGCTGCGACCCACGCTCCGGTTCCCAAACTCAGTGCCGTCACGCCGCGAGTTGCGGTCAGGAGCATCTTGCTGAGTTTATATGCCGTGCGGGGGTGTTCTCCACCAGCGCTGTAGCCCGCTGTGTCCACGAAGCGCATGTTTGCCACGGCCCGCGATGATTGGATTAGTGGCCGGGAGTGGATGGCACCATAGGTTAGGGTTAAAGGGTTTGTTAGGGCGGCAACGGGGGAGGCAATGAAGTTGAAGCAGAACATGTGGAGGATGCTCGCAATACGGCGGGGGGCAACCATCAAGGGTAGACGGACTAGTAGGGCGACTAGGGTCGAGAAGCAGATCGTTCCAAAGAGGGTTGTAGTCGAGTGATGGAGGGCTGCCGACATTATGGCCTTCGAGGAAGTTGTTGGGATTGCGTGTCTGTGGAAGTACCACTGGGAGACGGTTGCGGCTGATGTCGCCCTGAATACGGGTTAGAATTCCGATTGGCCCCTAGTCGAGTGGCAGACTCACCTCTGAATCCCGGAAGTCACTCCCAGAGTCCACAAGTACATCAAGATGTAGTAAACCCCCAAGGCAGTGCTCTTGGCATCCAAGGTCCACATGGGTTTTCCTACAAACAATCAGCAAATAAACAACATTTCACAGCAATCCCCCTCAGACATACCATTCATGAGTGTATTTCCAATCCAGAAAACCCTAGTGAACATTCCGACCCAGATCCAAGTAAAAACACAAACGCCTACAAGGGTTCCGAAGCTCAACAAGACCAACGCCGGGTTTTCCCCGAGAATCTTGCATGCCAGTTGGATGATCCCAATAGCCCTCCCCAGTGCATTCCTCCCCTTATAAGCAAAGTAGACCCAGAATCCAGCCATAAGTGCGGGGAAGATGCTCCCCCATCGCATCGCCTTATCTTGCGGCCCGTTACCACCCATTTTCCCCTTGTACGACATGATGAGCGGGTATAAACTCAATGCCGCCAGGACCACAGGCACCGATACCAATATCAGATATATCAGCGGTTTTACAAATGACCGAAGAAGATACATCCATACCAACGACACAGCGATAGCAAGAAATGTATCCACGGTGAGAAGATGCACGGCCGAATGCAATGTCCGGTAAACCGTGTCAAGGGGTAGCTTCGTTTCCTCCGTATGAAGCCATACAACAAACGATGTGGTAAACATACAGGCCATCAGCACCATGTAAAGAGTACCCCATAAGTGGTCGTGTGAGGGTGGTTCTAATGGCGGATGGGCAACTTGCTGTGGAATCTATCATATTTATCGCGATCAGCTCAAGCCGATCAACACTACCTTGCAGACAAAGGGAAATGGGGAAGAACGGGTTCCCGTACTGTGCTCGTATGAGGCGCCCGCTGATGGGGTGACGATAGCCTTGGCATGAAACTATCCGCCTTAGTCGGCGCTGCAAAGGGTAAATTATTCGGGGCCTGCGGTGGAGTCGTCCGAAACTGCTGGAAGGCCGGAGGGTCATCGTCCGGAGGCATTTCAATGGCAATATCGTCCGGCGGGCCCTGATCATCATCGTCGTCGCCCAACAGGCGGTGGCTCTCAACCGTCCTGTAGTCTTCGGAAAACGATTGCACCATATCCTCAGGATCGATACTCTCAGACATCATCCCTAACCGTACGCTGTCATCCAACCCGATATCAACCATCCTATCCTTCCCCCTCCCGTCACCCTTTCCCGTCCCACCGCTCAGTGCCGAACCCGTTTGCGATGTCGACCCAAGCAGCGAAGAACCAGCAGACCTTGAGGCCCTCCATGAACTGCGAATACCCCCAGACCCCGCTCCCAGGAGCCTGTCCTTTCCCTTTCTCCTGCTACGCCGTAGCTCCTGTGTGCTATCCTCGGAATATTCCCCCTCATCCTCATCCTCCTCCCCAACGGTGGCATTCGTCGGCAGAGTGTAACCCCCAAAATGCCGTCGACTGCTCTTTAGAGCATAGAAATCCTGAACCTCCTGTTCGTGCTCCGGGTCGTCGGGCAGGTAATCCGCGGCCGAGTGAAACAATGGAGCCGGGTTTGGGGGTCCATTCAGTCTCCCCTCGCGTATGGCACTAACACGAGTCTGTGATTGGGCCAGAAAGCGGGAGGCATCTGTTCAGACTGAAGGATTAGCAGCGAAACGACGAAAAGGGCGAAAGAGCCTCAAGAAAGCGAGGATGAAGGCATGATCCCAGTGCTCGGCCGTGATAAAGCGAAGGCAGGTTCGTCAAGACAAGGGATGGACAAGGTACTACATTCTGAAAACATGATGGAGATGGATAGATGGACAGCCGGACCCTAGCGGGAGTGCGTAGGGGAGCCAGAGACAGTAAGGCGGCTGATGAACGAGGCTCGTGTGGGTACCGGTACTTGTGGATGGGGCGATCAGGACAGAGAACCAACGAAGGAAGCGACAGACGATAGATGACGAGCGGGGGCGATAATCTATTGTATGTACAAGATGGGGTCTCTAGCGGTGGTGGTTGTGGTGGTGGTGGTTGTTGTTGTGGTGATGAGGGCCAGAGTTGCGGAGGGGGGGAGAGAACAGAAAGTTGAAATGGGGGGGCCCTTGGTGATGGTGGCTGGCTAGCGTGTGTGGTGGTGGTGGTGGTAAAGTTGAGGAATGGGTGAGGGAGTAAGTTAGACCAAGTGAGCAGCCGACTGAGGAAGCTGTGGCCAGACGACCGCTGCCGCACAAGCACGCACGCACTTATTCACACACGCAGCCTCTGGCCTTTTGGCAGTGAAAGTCACTCGGGAAATAACAGGCAAGTGGATAAAAAGTCAGGATCTACCGTCAGCCGTTGCTGAAAGAGGTTGGACAGAGTGACGGGGTGACGGGGTGACGGGGTGACTGAGTGACAGACAAGGTTGGTCACCTCTCCGACCGGGGGTAGTCGGGGCTATCATACCGTAAATCACTGTCCCCAATGTCAACACAGCAGTAACCCATTCCACACAGGCTCGAAGTCAGGGTCCGAAAGTGAGCACGAGGAAAGAGTGTGAGCAAAAACCAGTCACTCTCCGAGAGCGGAGGAAAAAAAGAAAAAGAAAAAACACACACAGAGAACGCATAAGGGCTGGGAAGAGAAGCGAGGAGGGTTCCCCAGTGTGACCCTCCTTCCTGCGCTGGTCAGCACCTCTGGATGCGGGAAGTTAGTCATCGGCCAAGACAACGCCTGGAGCTTCCATGGTAAGCTCGCACGCAGGTGCTTGACTCAACCCCAGGGCAGCAGGAAAGCTCTCCAAAATAACCCCAGAACAGCGGGATCACGGAAGCTCGAAGGCAGCAGCATAACTCAGCGCGAGCAACTCCTCAATCCGGTACATACTTGGTTGCCCCTGCGGGCACAGCATACTGCGCGCCAAAGCATTTGACTCCCCCACATATGATACCGGCACTGTGAACTGGCCAAGTACCGGTGCTTAGTTCCTGATAAGCTACGGTACGGTAGTCGAGCACTCGCCATTCGACTCCCTCACACCACGCTGCAGACGGGACGATAACATAGCCATCAGAGTGCCTCTCCCAACACACTGATCAGGGGCGGGTTGCGTATAAACCCTTCCAAACAATCGCTTTACCGGTACTGTGCTCGAGCACGGAAAAAACCTCTTCGTACTGTAGCACAAGATACGTTGGATACCGATTTGCTTTTCCTCCCACTCCGAACAATGATCCACATCGGCGACCTTCGTTTCTCCCCCACCCCTGCTTCACCAACAGTGTTCGAGCTGAATCGAAGGCGGAAACGTGAAATAATTCTGCACTTTCTAGCCAATCGCTTGGGAATGGATCCATCACAGCCACAGCCCTAGGACTCGCTTAGCTCGCTCGTGCTGCAGGGCTGCTTCCCCCTGTTCGGGCAAGTTCGTCCTGGCCAAGCCACATGTTCTGACCGCTATCGTGCCCCAGTGCAACGAACTTGAGCGCTGGTCACCGCAAATCACTAGGTGACTAGGTTAGCAACTGAAGAGCCGCACCCCATACTGTGGGTGGATCCCCGCTATGGCACGATTCTCAGGGATATTTGGTAAGGTTTTTGGTGGAGGAACTTGACCATAGGATCGAAATACCGGCACTTAGGGAGCGGGTTGTGGGAACAACGCTGAAACCTAAAGTCCCTCGAGTGGTTCCCGGGAAACCTGGCAATGCCAAAGGTTTGCCTAAAGATCTGTATGATACGATTCAGAGCTCGTTGCATCGTGAAACCCCTCTAGTTGTGAGGATAAAGGGCTGCAAATAGGGCAGATTGTTTCCGGAGAGCCGGAGTTCAATTCTCCGCTCCATTCCGTTTTTTGCTTTAATCTTCATAATATTATTCAGTGGCATTGTGGGATAAATACCAGCTTAATGATACCTTCAAGTCAACAATCCTTCACTCCTCCTATCAATACTCCAACAATTTATCCACACTTGGGCAATACCGCTTCCAGAATCCGGTCCAATGAGGATGGGACTGCATCTCGGGACAAAGCCGTTCATGCTTCCGCTGCATACGAGAGACTTGTTACTAGAAAAATACGAGCCCCGTATGCGGATAATAAATCAAATTATAAGAGCGCTACTCCGCTTCAAGTTTTCCATGGAAATATTTCCCAGGACTCTTGGTATCACACCATATCTATCATATGGGGGGAAAAATATGAAGAAACCTGAACGCATACAGGAATTGAGCACGGGATCTCCGAACCCCATTCCCCTTATTTCCAACCCTTTACCCTTATGCACTGTAAATACCGGTAGGGATGCTACATGATGCAAGGGGTTTGGTATGATATGGTACATATTTGCGATGCTTTGCATCACATTGAATGATACGATGGTCACCCAACCTCGCATCTCCCCCCCCACAATCCACCAACCGATAACAAGCGGACGACTATCCTTTACGTGATCGAGCCCGGAAACCCAGAATAACCGACGCTCACAAGTCGTAGGCATTCCACGCCCAAGGAGATATTGTCCGACCAGACATCGCAATCCCGCTATTATATAACAAAGATCACTCGGTGCCGTAGCACGCTGGACAAAAGACGTAATCTTCTTGGCATCGGATTGATCATTGGCAGTGGCTCCTGAATTTCTGTAGAAATATCGGTACAGAGTGTTAGCTACTCGAGTAAAACAGAGAACCAGGGTTCCGTCTCCTACGGCACACCTTCCTTCCTTTCCCATACATTTTTCGACCCGCGTCCAGCCCTGCCTGATATCCTGCATTGGTTCACCGCCCCCGGTATGGATTATGTGGTAGGAGACGTGCTCGACGCAGTGTGGAAACCATGTACTAGTACCGGTATACAGTACCACCACTGCTGCGAGTGGTGCCCCTTGCGCTATATTTGCTGGAAAGGGCGGAAAGGGGTAGCCTAAGGTTCCATAATGTTATACCCCCACCGCCGTCTCTCCTCCTCTCAAGCATGAGATCGGAATTAATCAGTGTACGGCGCCTCGGGCTGTGTTATCGATAGGAGTCTTAACTCGCCATTGGTATGCAAGGTCAGGGAGCTTTGGTCAAACCGCATTTTCACTTGTGATGCTGGCTTTCACTTTCTCCCTGTTGTGAACAGTTCGGGATTAGATATGATATATCCTATCCATAAACCTATCTGTCTGTGGGGGGGAAACGGTCTAAAAGACCGGGAGGGGGGCTCGTAATTTATCGAAAAATCTGTTCTGCCCAATCAGTACCCAGCATCCTTAGCTCTACGGTAGTGCCTCCTCGCGGGCTATATGTTCACGAGATCCTCAGCCTGAACTTGTCAAGCTATTTCTTATTCCCGTTAATGGAGAAGGATATTACATATCAAGTTCACAGCTCTACCGTCTTGTGCAGATGCTCCAGAATAGAGTTGATTCCAGGTCACAGGTCATCGCAAAGGGTATCAATGCGTACGATTGGGGGTATTCATTCCTGGACATCGATCGGTCAGAGACGCCAACAAATCACAAGCCCGCCAACACTGGGTCACCCCACCGCGACTCCCTAGCTGCGGGGGCCGCCCCCCTTGCACCGGCCCACATGAGCTTCACTATTTCTCCAACCCTCCGCACCCTGCCGCTCTCAAATTAATTGCTAGACCAATGCATAGGCAACCTCTTAGGTAACCCGGACACACTCTGATTGTTAGGTTTTATATAGGGAGACGAGCAGTGACCAGCCCAATTGCCGCGGCTCATCTAAGTAGGCCGCCTGAGGATATTTTGCCTGGGTTTAGCTGTCGGATCGGGCAGTTCCCGGGCCCATCTGCGGTGTAAACGCAACGAAGGCTCTCCATAATGGATTCTCGGACCCCAGGATCACATAGGGAGTCCACCATGACCCTGAGCTTGTTGTGGAAACCGACACATCCCACTTGAGATTTTATGCCACGGTCACCACCTCCAGTGCCCCAAGGTATTATGGGTTCGATGGCCCATCATAGATGACTCACAGATGGATGTTTCTATCCTGCTACTTCGAGATAGGAAAATACTATCAAGATGTTCAAGTTGGCAGTTCGTGGGGCAGGTGCCGTGGAGCTCCGGATATTAGCCGCTCCTCAAAACGAATCGCTAAGCTACTGCCTAGAATCGGGGTCACAGGGATTATCGCCCCTTGGATGTTCTACTACTCCCTAGCTCGGCTTTTGGGTAGGCCGCGGGGAGTATCATACTCCTAGGACCCCACATTATCATATTGTGGATGAACGGAAATGATGCCACTTGTACATGATTCTCTATGATTTGAGGCTAAAGGTTTCACGAGAGTCGATGGGAGTGAAAGCACTGAAGGTTATACTACGATTACGAGCGATCGCCCTACTGTAATTCATCCAACTATAGTGACAGTATATATTTCCCGGACTTCTCGATAACCAAATCGCCGAAGCCCATACTTGGACTATATAGTATTTGGGAGAGATGTGTGTTACCAGGGTTAGGGTCAGCTACCCCATCCCCGATTCCAGCTCCTTTGAGGACAAGTCTGGCGTTCCCGGAACACAGGTTTAAACAGGGCCTGACTATCGATTAATCCGGGTCATGAAAAATGCCACGTTCCTGGATCAACGAAAATACTCGTACTGTTGCCCCCCCCGGCAACCGGTTTCCTCCTCCAAAATCCTAAAAGCGAGTGATGACCGCTGAATGTTACACGGGTGATGACGAACTGGCACCCGAGAGCACTAGCTCCAAACGCCCAGCAATCTCTCTCCCTCGTGATTCAACTAGCAACCACCGTTGCGGCCCCTGATAGCGTAGTCAGCCAGCACCTATCGGTACCCTATCACACCTTCCTTTCCCACCTTCCCCCGCCGCCACCACCACCACCACCACCACCTGAAGGATAGAAGCCTCACTTTTTCTCACTTTCTCACTTTCCGTTAATCGAGATAAAGAGGACCGGATCAATAGACTCACTCGACTAACTCTCACGCAAACGAAGGAGGGAGGCAAAGGACCTGAAGAAAGAAGAGGAAGAGTCTATTCATCACGAAGATGCCGCAGCCATGGGACTATATTGCTGTAAGTCACGATGATGGAACGGCAGTCACTCGACTGAGGACATCAGACTGACGGGCCGAGCGGCCATGCAGAAAGTAGTCAACATCGGCGACTCCGGTTGCGGAAAGAGCTCGGTATCTTTTCCTCATTTCCTCTCTTCCCCACCCCATCCATCCATCCATCATTCCATCCATCCATGGGTGCAATCAAGCTGACAATGACCAAAAGCTCACCATCCGCCTCTGCGAGGGCCGCTTCAACCCAACCCACGACGTGACTATCGGCGTAGAATTCGGTAGCCGCATAATCCCCGTCGACACGAGCCCCACGTCGCAAAAGATTAAGCTGCAAATATGGGACACAGCGGGGCAGGAGTCATTCCGCGCGATAACCAAGTCCTACTTCCGTGGCGCGACGGGCGCGCTGCTGGTGTACGACATCTCGCGGCGCGCGACGTTTACGCATGCCACGGAGTGGCTGGAGGAGCTGCGCGGTGCGGCCGATGCCAACATCTCCATCATCCTCGTCGGCAATAAGTGCGATCTTGGTGATGACAAGCGTGAGGTCCCCGCTGAGGAGGCTAGGGCCTGGGCTGAGGGGAACGGGATTAAGGCGTTCGTGGAGACTAGTGCGAAGACGGGCGAGGGCGTGGAGGAGGCATTCGTGGATTGTGCCAGGGAGATTTATAGGAATATCAAGAGTGGGGTGTATGATTTGAATGATAAGAGCCATGGGATTAAGACGAATACCGCGAAGGCTAGTCTGAGCATGGATGAGCAGACCAAGGTAAGGGGTGGTTGCTGTTAATATTGCCCGCTCGTGGGGGGGATTATGAATGGAACTGGCAGAGCGGGTTGGGCCGGGTGTTTCCCTTTTTTTTCTTTTTCTTTTCCCTTTTCCCTTCCTCCTTTCATTTTTTATGATTCCGTTCTTGTATGTGTTAATTTCTCCCCTTTCTTTTTACCAGTATCCACTCTTTTATTCACTCCCCTCTCTTACCGTCTATCCTCGGCCACGATGTGGCGGGGGGGGGGGGCGAACACGGTATTGATGGCAGGCGTTTGCGCTTCTCTTCTTCCTTCCTCCCCCTTCTCTTGAATTAATATAAT